TGGGCACAGGAGGGAGCGTGGCCCCCAGGACACACACATGCCCATACCTCAAAGGCAGCCACAACGGAAAGGGCGGGAACTTCGTGTGGAAGTGCTGGGTCGGAGAACCGTTACCTCTGATTTTGGTAACAGACTCTGCAAGCGCTATGGGGCCTTAACCGTTGGCCACAAACCTCCATGCTCGCGCTTGCGCATCTCCTAAGGAGGAGCACGGGCTCAGCTGCTCAACGGTTCCCTGCCTCCTAGAGCGGCTGGAGCGCGAGGCTCAGGAAAGGGCGCCTTGAACTCAGGACTAGCGCATGTGCACGGGGCACCAGAGAAAACCTGGCAGGAAGCAAAGAAATGGCCCCTGGGGCCGTCCTCCCAGGCTTCTCTGGGGTGGACTCCCCCTCGGGGAAACATTGTGTGGGGCCTGTGAACGACCATGAGTATTTTTAAAAATTGCACACCCGCCATCCGTGCACTTTGGAACCAGCTTAGCTGAAAGACTTTGAGGCATTTATCCTAAAGCAAACTATGACTTATATTGGGCCCGGTGCTTTCACCTCCTTTGGACTGCATTTCTTTCCAAAAACAAGCATGTCGTTTTCTCCTAGTCCACTGGAAGGTTCCATTGAAAAACAGTTGTGGCAAAGAATTTCAGAGCTCAGAAGCATTCTGAGACGTGGTTTGTCCTGATTGCATTTCTAGACGTTCACCTACTTTTACCGATCTTGAGTATACTTATTTGATGCGCACACAGTTCTCCCAGTAAATGTTGTCACAAAAACAAAATTTGTTTTGCAAACTGTATTAAACCTTTAATCAAAAAATTGACAATTGGGTCAATTTCAGCCAACATTGCAGATACAATGGGAATGATTTTACTTTCTCCTCTTTGACATAGGTTGAAGAATTTCAATTGCTGACTAAAAAAACAATAGAATCAACTCACTAAGTTGAATTTGCAAGTCTCAAAACCCTATCATCAGGTCCTCTTTCTCATAATCTGCAGGATTAATAACAGCCCAATAACCCAGGACTGCCAAGGTCCTCCCAGGGCATGGGCCCTGAGGACACACACAAGGCTCCTCCCCACTCCTCTAATGTTCCAGTACTGGACGGAAAAGTCCTGGATGTCCCCGTCCTGAAGCTGGTGCACTGGGTCCCTGGCCCTTCCCCCCGGGCTTCTCCAGCTCCGTTCTTCCTGGATGTCACGAGTTGAGCAGCTTTTCCCTCCCTCCATGCCCTCTGCCTTGTTTCTCTCTTGGAGCCAGCCACACACAGGCAGAAACTTCTGAAACCGTGAGCCAAAAGAAATCTTTTCTCCTTATATTCTGCTGTGTGCTTTGTCCCAGCAATGAAAAGGTGACTAACATGGACAGAAGTCACAAACAATGTTTGGCCTGATTTCATGATTCTTGCATCTGGGGTCTAGGACTACAGAAAAGACAATAATGTTCCACCATGGAATTTTTTCATTACTCTTCCACAAAAAACTTACTGAAATCCTATTTTTAAAGTCAAGATAATCGGTTGAGGTGACAAGGAAAGATAGCCACAAAGAACAAAACACTGACAACCAAAAAGAAGGGATTTCTGTGTTGGGTCTGTAGGCTACGTTAGTGTGGCTACTTGGTAGGGCTTTCTAGCAAAGGACAGCGACTATTGTCCTTCTAGCAAAGGACAAAAGACTATTGTCCTGGATGAGGCACAGATCCCAGCTTTGGACACTTGAAGAAGACACAAGAACTGCTTCCTCAGGAGTGACACGGGTATGTCAGGCACTGGATCCTCCCTCTCTTAATTCAAGCTACTCATCGTCTCCCACCTGGCGCATATTTACCTAAATACGTGGTCTGAGTTTTGTTGAGAAAGTACAATGAGTTTTGAAATTCATCAAGAGCCTACTTCCAAGGTGGGATGCTGGGTGAGATGAGGGAAAGAAAACTAGTTTTACTGGTGTGGAACTGGAGGAGAGATCAGTAAAACTACAGTGCTGGCAGTGGTAAGAAATAATTCAAAAATTGGGTAGAGTCACACAGCAGTGATGTTTTCACCAAATTGTTTGAAGGGATCGTGAGGGTCTCCTCTGCCCACCAGAGCTCTTCCTGGAATGCCCCCCCCAGCCCTGCCTCTGCCCCTCCCCCGCTACAGAATGTCTGGGCATAGCCCTCCAGACCTGTTTACTTTCAAACCTCACCCTCTGCAGTTGGACCGGAGTGAGCCTCTGGTCACAGGTCTTCACTCTTCCCACGCTGCTAGCAGCTAGAGAGTTGATGTCAGTGTCCATGCCTGTGGGGATGGAGCTAGAAGGAGGTAAGCCTGGAGGGTCAGGGATAACTGCTCTAACTCCTTAAACTGTTAGGAATTTGAATCTGTCACTTCCCTGGGTACAAGTGGTTGAGCTGATGTAAAGAAAAGAGTGTACTGGACTTGACCAACACCATACCCACTGGGAGGCAGGGAAAGTTCGTGTCAGTCTGAGACTGTTGACGGGACTGGGACTCCTTAGATGGATTTCAAGATACCATGTGGAAAATATACTGGGTCGGGGAAAGAATGGGAGGACATACATTGATCCTCTCCAGAAAGGGAGAGATGTGACTTTAACAGGGTTGCTATCCAATGGTGTCACGGAGGAGACAGGACATTTTCAAGGGGAACTCTGAGTCCTGTGTCCTTTCTTCGGGAACCTGGGACTTGTATGTCTCACTGCTCTGAGGGGTTTGATTGGAGTTTCCCGGATCTTAGGAGGGCGGTGGAGAGAATGATCTTAGACAGAAAACTACTCAGAAAACTCCGTGACCCAGTGTGCAGTGAAATATCCTCTGTGTGAACAAGGATAAGGGTTACTCAACTGTCACTTCCAGAGACCCCAAGCGCCATCTCACTCACAGAGGGCTTTACCCTCAGTCCAAGTTGCAGCTGTTTTTCATCCCAGGGCAGCTTGGGCCTCCCTGAGTTGTTCTGAAATGTCATCTTTTTCATCAAAACAGGTCTTCAGGGCTTCTTAGTCTTGACCACTGTCAGTGTGGCCCCTCAGCCCTTCATTTCACAGTTGTCAGGAACAACGCCCGTGTTCCTTGTCTGGTGCTTCATGCACCAGGGGCACAAGGGGAGTGCTGTTGGTTTTCTGTAGCAGTGAAAGCTAGTTTCCATGTAGAGAGAGGATGATGAGTAGCTCACAGGAAGATGCTTTGCTGTTATGTTAGTAGGAAGTTAGGACAGGTGTTCTGGTTACTGGGTGCAGATTTCACAGATGGGCTCCAGTTGACTTTGTCTCACATGGTACCTGGCTCACAGAGGACCGACTCGCAAGTCTCTTTCATTGCCATTTTTAGGACCCCACAGGGAAGGCTCCACAGATAGGTTATAGTTCCACAATGAAACCTGACAACCAGGAGCTGTGACAATTCCTTGAAAACTCCTGGGACAGCTCCACCATCACCCTTACCTGGCTCTTTCTGGTCCTCTGCAGAAACTCCTGGCTGTTTCTGCAAGGACAAGTACTCAGGGAGCCCAGTGTCCATCTTCCAGACCTGTCTCATGGGAACAGAGCCTCCAGTGTCATGGCAGGGACCACTGAATACTGGGCACAGGACTGGGCAGGATTAGTCCCCGCATTAGTGCTTGTTGTGGGAGGTGGATAGGATCCCGCGTGGGGTCATCTTCAAGAGCTAGGGTGGGGAAGATTTCATTGGGGGCCTGTGTTATGCTTTGCTTGCAAGGGAAGAAAGATAGAGGTTTAGAAGGAGCATGAGAAAAAGGAAATATCCCTTAGAGGGAGAGGAAGCTGAGAGGTTGCTTTGGACAAGCAAGGGTTGAGAATTTTAGTTACCTAGAAGAAAGTTCCTTGCAGGAGGAATTCTGAATGGGAGGAAGAGAGCATGAAAATTTACTCAGGGGTGTCTGCTAACTGCAAAATATTCCTGTCCACACAACCCTGAAGGGGTGAGTTTTGTCTTCTGATTCCCAGTGACTGGGGAAGAACAGAGCCTCCATCCTGCTGTCTCACCTCCTACATGCCTTCACTCCTTTTCTCTCCACAGCATCGTCCCTGCTGCAGCCAGATATGACCCAGAAGGACGGGGTCATCCTATCTCCTTCTTCGGTCCTGTGCCCTCTCCCACCTGCCCCAGTCCCAGTACAACAGCTACACTGGGAGCCATTTCCACCCTCTGGGAATGCACCACTTCCTCAGGGTAAACCCCTGGTGGTGTCCCATTTCCCCATGACACCTGTGGTGGCAGGACACAGTGGCTATGGTCAGACTGGGCCTGGGCCTTTCAACATCCCTGCCCGAACCCAGGGAGGAAGGAGGCGAGCAGGGTCCCTGCTCACTCAGAGCCATGTCCTCTCACGGGCCCCATTCATGAGCGGCTCCCAAGGTGTCCGGCATGGGGGTGTGCATCATCCTGCTCTCCTGCCGCTGAGTGCTGCGCCCATGACCACCATCCTGCCTGCCCCAACTGGGGTGAGCATCCAAGATCATGATGGGATGTGGGCCAAGGGCCTTCATCCTCCAGCCGTACCACTAGTGGCCCAGACCGTGTCTGGAGTGAACACTGGGCCACTCCTGTCTGCCCCAACTGGGGTGAGCATCCAAGCTCATGATGGGATGTGGGCCAAGGGCCTTCATCCTCCGGCCGTACCACTAGTGGCCCAGACCGTGTCTGGAGTGAACACTGGGCCACTCCTGCCTGCCCCAAATGGGGTGAGCATCCATGCTCATGATGGGATGTGGGCCAAGGGCCTTCATCCTCCAGCCATACCACCAGTGGCCCCGACGGTGTCCGGAGTGAACACTGGGCCACTCCTGCCTGCTCCAACTGGGGTGAGCATCCAAGCTCATGATGGGATGTGGGCCAAGGACCTTCATCCTCCGGCCGTACCACCAGTGGCCCCGACCGTGTCCGGAGTGAACACTGGGCCACTCCTGCCTGCCCCAACTGGGGTGAGCATCCAAGCTCATGATGGGATGTGGACCAAGGGCCTTCATCCTCCGGCCGTACCACCAGTGGCCCCGACCGTGTCCGGAGTGAACACTGGGCCACTCCTGCCTGCCCCAACTGGGGTGAGCATCCAAGCTCATGATGGGATGTGGGCCAAGGACCTTCATCCTCCAGCCGTGCCGCCAGTGGCCCCGACCGTGTCCGGAGTGAATACTGGGCCACCACCACACTGCAACAGTGCAGGTGTCCTGGGCACCTCGCAGACCAGTGGCTCAGCAGGTCACACCTCCAAGTCTCCAAGTGTCTATGAGAACTTCCGGTTCTGGCAGCATTTGAAGACCCTGCTCCAGAGATACCTTCCACACACTCCTGACATGGAAGTGGTGTCCTGCTTCCTCATGTGAGTGTCCTCCCAGGGACCCAGCAGTTCACCCTGTAGCTCCAATAGGAGGGAGGAGGAGGGGAGATAAGGAATTTGGGGTGTAGAGGAACTTGCAGGAAGAGCTGAGGGTGACAGAGTAAGGTCAGAAGTATTTATGTGATGCCCGGGTAGGAAGAGGGCCTGATCTATGGAAACCACTGCCAATGGTGCAGCCAATGTTTCTTTTTCAATAGTTATCACCGTGATGCTCAAGACTCAAGGTCAGAGAAGGTTCCTGCTGGAGCATGAGCCACCATTTGAGTTTAGGTCTCTGACGTGTCATGGTCACACCCCTTCAGTTTTCCCTTCCTTCATGGACCTATGGACTCATGGTCCTGAGGTCAGCACAACCACTGGTGGTAGGAGGTAAAGAAACTGAGAGAGAAAAGGACAGTTGTTCCCACCCCGGCTGTTGTGGGGAAACAGGAGAATAAGGTGGTGCAGCAGTCACGTGACAGCACACCTGCGCCCTAATTCCATTTGACCCTCAGCCACCATTTAAATCTTCACCCCTGGCTTTAACCCTGGCTTCAGCTCATTGTGTGCACCTTCCTGTCAGCTCATGCTGCCAGAGTACCCCAGACTGGCGAGTTGAAACCACCCAATTCACTCCTCACAGCTCTGAAGGCAGCAAGTCCCACGTCAGGGCGCTGGTAGATTCTGTGTGTGAGGATGACTCTCCCCCAGGCTAGAGAAGGTGGCAACCTCACCTGAGTCCTCACATGGCTGAGAGAGCTTTGGGGTCTCTTGTTCATCCTATAAAGGCACTGATCCGATCATGACAGCCCCACCTTGCTGACCTCATCTGACTGTTTCTAAAGACCATCACATTGGGGGTCAGTACTTCAACACACGGACTGTGGGGGACAAAAACATCCTGTGCACAATAAACAACACCAACAATGAGGACATGAAGGAAAATCAGTCTCCAACGTAGCACTGATGTTAATGTCCAGTGCCTGATAAGGGGTCCCAGAGGCTGTCAGACCACAAGAGAAGTGAAGGGACAGAGGTGACAGGGATATAGGGTGTGCAGAGCAGGATCAGCTGGGCATGCAGGGCGAGGACAGTGGATGGTAAATGATCCTGAACAATTACAGGCCAGTGCTCCGGTCCCTGTCCCGCCGGAAGCCGACCATGAGTGTGGAGCAGGGCCTGCGGATAGGCGTGCACGAATGGGACCACAACAGCAACTACGAGCACATGATCTTCTACAAGCTGGCTGAAAAGTGAGTCAGGGACCCTGGGCCATGAGTTGCAGGAGCACATAAGCCATGCAGCTGTGTCCAATGGGGCTTGTCACCCACACGGTGTAAGCAGGGTGTGCACTGGCACAGACCCCACCCCTGGAACCTTGGTCCTTAGGAGGCTGCTCCTTCTACCTGCAAGGGAGGGAAGTGCCAGGAGCTTTGGCCTCAATATTCATGGAGTTTCTTCTAGCAGTGGGGGCTGTGTCAGGTGGACCCGTGCCATTTGTCCATGAAAGGAACAAGGCTATAACCCGAGGTCCCAGAAGAGAGTGGGAGAGGGGACAGCAGGCATGGTCAGGGGAAGACAGCCTCTCAGGCACCCCGAGGACAGGTCTTCACCATTACTACTTTAGCTTCATCTAATCTGTTCTTTCAAACAAGCAAATGAACAAACAAACAGAGAAACAGAAAAACAGACCACAGAGGAAAGTAACCCAATCTTCCCCACTTGGCTCCCACTTTCTCCTGACTTCTCCCGGGCCCTGTCTCCCAGAGCTTCATTCCAGGACTCAGAGTCCCACGTCAGGAGCCCTGGATGGGGGTGAGGACTCTTGGTGTTCTCCGCCTTAACTCACTCCTGACCGGCTTCTGGTGCTTCGCTGCTGTTTGTGGCTCTGTGCAAGACCAGGGCAGGCCTGGAAAGGGTCCCCTGAGGGCTCTGCAGATCACCTAGGCCCAACTTGATTTCCTGCGGGTGATGTAAGATGTGCCCAGAACTGTGGCTCTGCCCTGGGATCAGCCCCCTCCTTTGACTAGACCAGTCTACCCAGAGCACTGCTCCCCACCTCTGCTACTGGTCCAGTCCGGTGTCACTAGGGCCTGGGACCTGGTCTCCCTTCTGGTTCAACCTGTATCTCCCCACACCTCAGGTTCAAGGAGTTTGAGGTTGCTGAAGAGTTGTTACATCCCAAGTTTTAGTTGATCGGGGGACTCCCGGGCTGTCCGACTCCAGCCCCACCCAGGCCCGAACCTCCAAGGCCCCCAATGCCTGCGGTTGTGCAACAACCAGGTAGGGCTTCCCATGTTCCACGGGGACCACAGGAGAGGCCAAAGGGGGCAGAGGGAAGCTGATGTCCCACATCTGTTGGGTTTTCAATCAGGATGAGGCATTTGGTTTTGAAAGCAGAAAATCCCCCAGTGCCTGGGCTTCCACAGCCCTTGGACTTGAGCAGGATGTTGATTGGCTGTGCAGTATCTCAGCCCACCATCTGCCCAGGACTTGGGGGCCGGGTGGGGACAGTGTATGGCATTTCGGTAGCGCCACATGTCCTCCCATGTGACTGTCTCCACATTCCACCTCAGGCAGAGTCTCCTCTCACAGATTCTGAGGTCAGCTTGTCCTGGACCACTCTGGATGACATTAGGTCTCCTAGATCCTGCTCTCCCCATCGGGATTGGGGTCTACCTGGAGCAACCATCCATACCCACTCCCTTCCTCCATTCTAGTGTGCGTCCCCAGGCAGACAGAATCCAAGGCGCAGGCTGCCTGCCCCCCAACACCCAAATGCCAGCAGCCACCTGAGACCAAGGCACCTGATGAGATCCCTCCTGAAGCTGTGAGGGAATACATAGACATTATGGACTGGCTGGAAGAGCATCACCTCCTGTCCATGCCGGTGTCTAAAGAAAACCAGGAAGAAGAGCAGCAGCAGGAAGAGGAGGAGATAGTCCCAGATCTGGATATCTCCAGTTACTGTGATGAGCTTTGTTCCCAAGACGACTTTCTCACCAAGGTGTGCAGGGGGCTGGAGGCCTGGTGTTCTTAAAATTTCAGCAACAGGATCCAAGCCTTTGGAATTTAGCCTGATTCCTTAGCAACTGAAATCCCTCTCTCTCTCTCCTCTCTCTCCCCTCTCTCTCGGTGTGGATGTGGGTGTGTTTGCATCTCACCATGAATGTGTGTCTGGGTAAGTGAGTGTAGCTGGTGGTCATGATGATTAACAGTCCCATGGTGTGGACCAGAATGGGCAGGGTATTGTTCTGTTTCTCCTGGGCTTCCCCTTGGCTTAGAGCTGCTCCTTACCAAGGAGCCTCATGATTTCTTCTTCTGACCCAGGTGGAGGCCATTATCAACCCCCAATTCCTGGATGCAGTAGAATCTCCAGATGCAGACTTGGATATCATCTTGGCTACAAGACAGGTGCTAGAAGAGGAACATGAACTTACTGTTGACCAGGTAGGCCAGGGGCATGAGGGACACCAGAAAGACAAGGGCAGGGCCACCAGCCTGACCAGACAAGGGGAGGGATCAGTAGGCAGAGGAGGGAGAGAGGGGCACCAAGTAGGAGAGGAGAGGATGAGGGGAGAGGGAGACAAGTGAGGGGAGGACAACAGGTAGATATGAAGAAGGAGGGGCATCAGGTAGACAGGGTGGGGTGGGGATACCAGACAGATCATCAGGATCAGGAGGGGACCCTGCACACCAGGTCCACATGACTTTGTCCAGCCCTAACCCAGCCAGAAATTGCTGCCTTCTAGAGAGGGGCTGCACCCAGATGGAGGACACACATGGGGACAAGGAGGGAGGAGATTCCAGAGTGAGGAGGGCGAGGGTGCAGTGAAGGAGGCCAGCAGGGTGGTCCCAGGGACTCAGCCTCAGTGTCTGAAACTAAAATGGGGCAAGGTCCAGAGCCTGCCTGCTGTCCAAATACCCTCACACCTACCCCGTGATCCCTCCTCATGCCTCACATAGACCCAGGAAATGCCCTCTTCCTCCTGCAGCTGGTGGAGAAGCGCCTTCTGGGCTCCAAGGAAAAGGGAGGTGTGTGCAGGCCCCAGAGCCGAGGTGCACCCCAATCTGCTGCCCACCAAGGTGCAGAGCGAGATGATCCTGACCGCAAACGAAGGCGCAACAAGGAGACCTGCTCCCCTCCAAAAGCTTCCCAGGTCCTTAAGAGACGCAGGGCCACCAATGAAGAGCGGCCGGGGCCTGAGGTCCCTGCTGTCCTGCGCAGGAGACACAGCCGTGCCCTGCTGGGAGCCTCTGGTCCCAGTGCTCTTCCCCAGGACCTGGCACCCAGAGGTACTGTGGCCCTCAGAGCGGCCTCTCCTACTGGGGGGCCAGCATCCTGCCCGGATGAGGATGACGAGGACTTCTCCAGCCTTTCCTTCCTCCTGGCCTCCCCTCGCCAGCTGCTGCCCCAGATCCCAGGCCCTGAGGTGGGCCTCCTCTGCCCTGGAGGTCCAGTACCCCAGGCCTCACTTCCCCAGAGAGGAGGCCTCATCTCTGACCTCCCTTCATCTGCCAGGAGCAAGAAACGAGCCCTCTCGGGAGGCTCAGCTCCTGTGGGAAAGTTATTCTGCCCAGGACCTTCCTGAGAGGTTGCTGCAGGGCAAGATTTGGCTCAGGGGCAGGTTCCACGCCCATTGCCTAAGAAGGGGAGGAGTAACAAAGGAGGCTCCCAGAGGAGGAGGAGGAGGAAGACCTGTCCCGCATAAGGCTGGTGGGCAAATTCCGGGTGCCCGTACTTCAGGTGGGCGTTGGCAAGATTTCACCCTGCTCTGCCCTGCACCCCACAAGCCAGCGCCCCTCCTCACGGAGTTCTGATTCAGGGGTTCTGGGGCAGGGAGAGGTGATGGGAGGGGATGGGGTGGGAGGGAGGAGCTGCCTGGGTGGAGTGGGGCTGTTCTTTGGGGCTGTTATTTCAGAATGTAAATAAAGATGACTGGAAAATGCTCTCAGGGTTGCTGAGTCTTGTCTGGGCCTTGTCCCCATGTGGGGCGTGAGGACAGCAAGCAGGGAAGGACCTGATGTGCCAAGCTCCAGGGTGCACATGAGCCTGACCGAGGTCTTCCCTGCACAGTGGGGCTGTTCTTCCCACTGCTCCTGTGAGCAGACAGGCTGAACGCTCTCTGGAGGCCCCTTCACCACCCCACTCACAAGGCCTCATTTTCTTTCGGGGGCTTTCTGGGCATACCCCGACTTCAACTGCACCCCTTAAAGTCTCCTTCAGCCCTGTGTACCGTTAGCCCGTGTGCTAGCATGCAGACTGCAGCTGGCAGGTTTCTTAGGGACCTTCTTTCTCCTTCGTGGCAGAGCCCAGAATGAGCTGGCCCGAAGCTCAGCTCTGGCAGGACCTTCCCGAGTGGGTGGTTTGACCAGAGGACAAGGCCTGGAAGCTACAGGCAGAAGCCATTGCATCTTGGGGAGACTTCGACTGATAACACCAGCGAGGCCCAGTGAAAATGCCTTCTTTTCTGACACCAGGAAGGCCTAGCTCCTGGGGACTACCTTTTGGAGGTGCAGGTGTGCTTTTATTCTAACTCAGAGATGCAGGAAGTCCTCAGGGTCTCTGTGCACTGAGCAGGACTGGTGAGAATCCCCCGGTTGGTAGGACCTTGGTCAGGCTGCTCTATCAAGGTGCACAAGCAGCTGAGACACAGCCTGAACTTCACATCCTGAATGTTTTGTTTCAGGTTCTTTTCTTTTTTGACTTTGGGTGTGTTTATTTTTGTCCTGATTCTAATTTTTTTTAATGTTACCAGTACACGTTTGCAGTACATATTGATAACATTCATCACTGAGGGTTAATACAGGTACATAACCTATCTTAATTCTTTCTTTATCACCTCCCCCTTCTTTCCCTGTCCTCTATCTCCTGCTGCCCTTCACTTTCGCAAAATGTCTATCTTCCTATTTCCTATTTCTATGGTTCATTTTGCTCTTTGTCCTTTGAGTTTCTCATATAAGAGAAAACATGTTATACTTAAACCTCTGTGTCTGATTTATTTCACTTAATTTTATTGTCACAAAGTACATCCATTTTCCTACAAACAATCTAAGTTTCTCCTCCTTTACGGAGAATAATACACCACACTTCCCTTATCTATTCATCTGCTTATAGACATATGGTCTTCTTCCAAGATTGAGCTATTATGAATTGTGCTTCTACAAACATAGGAAAGCATGTGTCATGTATGTAATTCTTACCAAGAAGGGGAACAGCAATGTCAAATGGAATTTCTATTTTTACTTTTTTGAGGAATCTCCAAACTGCTCTCCATAGTGGTTGTACTAGTGTCCATTTCCCAACAATATAGAAGGGTTTCTTTTTCTCTGCAGACTTCAGGTTATTTTAAAAGAATAGTCTGTAAGTGAATTTATTAATCTTATATCCCCTTTAAAACATTGCAATCCTGTGGTTATTCACACTATGTATGACCACCGCTGCAGTAACTACCGTCAAGAAATCTCAATCCCTAGAGCATCTTCCACACCAATCATTTAGCTACCACCCCTGTCTCCCCACGTATGATTCATGATTATGTAACTGCTAGGTTACTCTCTGTCTCCATACTTTACAAATTCATCTGTGCCTAATCTACTTTTTCCCCATTCACTTGGTCAAACAGAAGTGTGGTACTTGTACATTCCATTTCACAATGTTATTAAAAGGAGCAGTCTCGGGCTGGGGATTTCTCTCAGTGGTTCCACTGCCTGCCTCGCAAGTGCAAGGTCCTGAGTTTGATCCCTGGTGCCAAAAAAAGGAAATCAAAACAAAATGCAGTCTCAGTGGTCAAGACTAACTAATACCTACTGTTTTTACTGCTTCAGGTACAACACCTCAAATGAAACTGGTACATTTCTTTATGTAGTTAGTTAGTTGAAGCTGCCCAGGGTGGTCTTGAACATTTGGGCGACCTCCTGCCTCAGCCACCCATATGACAGGAATTACATCTGTATGCCAACACAGCTAGCTGAATTGGGCATTTCTAATGCAAGTGCATGAGAGTGCCAAATATAGTCACTACTGCTGTCCTGTGATGACGCTGTCTTGATCATTTGAAGGCACCAGCAGTTCTCCCACCACTGCTTCTGTAACTTTAGTGGAGACGTCAACATAATTTTTCCAGGATAAATCATAACACTGAAGAAAGTTAACTCATGTTTGCACATGTCAGCACTATGCTATTTGTGATAAAGCACGAATAATCTCTTTCATGAGTGTTGGGTGCCCATACCAATGTCTCACAAGGTCTTGTATCTAGAATACATGAAGCACTTTCAAAACTCACTAGCAACAACGGCAGCATTGTAGTTAGAAAATGGGCAAGACATTAAGATGCATTTTGCCAACAAGGAACATGCTTTGGAAATATGCTGTGAAAAGAGGCCTAACATCACTAGCTATTAGACAATGCAAAATAAGAACAGAACTGCCAGACACTGATTTGAATGGCTAAAAGTCAAATGCGTGACTGTACCAAGTTCTGGTGAGGAACCAATAAACTAGGTTTGCCCTTTATTTTGGGTAGAAGTGTAAAGTGGTAAGTGCACTGAGAAACAGTTTGGATGCAGCACGACACTGATATAAAAGCCATACAAAGTGACTGTAAGAATAAGAAACTATAGAGCAGAATAACTTACAGGTATTGATGCAAACCACGTAACACAATATTACCAAACCTAATGCACGGCACCTCACAAGAACTACTCACTGTGACCAAGAAGGACTTGTTTCTGAAATGCTACAATGGCAAATGAATCGGTGTAACCCACCAACTTAACCAAAGGAATTATGCTCCGCCTCAATTGTTTCTGAAAATGTGTGTGACAAGATTTATACTCCTGCATAATAAAGCACTTGCCTAATTAAATTCCTCAATTCTATTACACCATAAACTATGCATATATACGCTTACCTTTTAAACACCTTGATGTAACTCCTGCTAAAGCACACACACAATGCTGTCTATACCTATACATCCCAAATACCTGAGCAGACCTTCAAATATACTACTCAAGTCTCCCAAGACTACATTTGCATGAATTTATCCCACACTCTCACGTGGAAGCACAAACCACATACCCACAGCTCTGCAATAGACACCCAGCCACCACACTCCCGCAGTATATCACAGAGATCCCTAGCACATATCTCAAGCACCCAGATGCATGGATATACAGAACCACAGAATAGTCACACGTGCCAATGCATACACAGCCATATGTGCCCCAGTACACACACACCAAGCTCCATCTCTTCCTTTTTGCTGGTGATGGTGGTCCTTGGAACTGAATCCAGGGACTCATACTTAACTACAGTCCAAGTTCCTCCACCTTTTTTCAGCTGTTGTTGAGACATGGTCTCTCAACAAGAAACGAAATTGCCCAAGCCAGACCAAACTGGTATCCTCTGGCCCCAGACTCATACAGTACTGGGATAACTGGCGTGCACCTCCACACTGAGCTCAAAGTCCATGGTGAAAAACTAAAACAGAAACGCTTAACTAAAACAATTGAAAACTCCAAAATGAATTCCCAGGCACCACAACTACAAACCTGGCTACCTCACTCTTCTCAAAATCCTTTACACCAGGCTGTGGATTTAGCTCAGTGGCACAACTCCTGCCTCGCAAACACAAGGTTCCCTGGCACCAAAAAAAAAAAAAAAAAATCCTTTGCACCACACAAATACCCAAATTGTCAGCTTTTAACTCCATAAGCGTACATAAAACTCCTCTACTGTGAATGCACAGATATAACAAACCAAAAAAAAAAGGCATAACATTATCTTTTCAAATGCATCCACAGAAGAATCACAGTATCTCACAGTGCACTACAAAGACACAGTACCACCTGCCCAAATACACACACACACATTCACACACACTTACATATGTATACGTACCTACCCAGGAAAATAACCTTCAGAATCACACAGTACTCCAGATTAACCCTCAATCCACTATTTTGTAATTTACTGTAAATTGACCCATACTTTCCTAAGAGCTCCCTTTCAAAAAACTATTTTTTGTGTACATAAAATATTGGCAATCACAATGCTTTAGGAACAGCAAACCAGGAGGCATCACGCGAAAGTATCCTCAACTTTATACTTGCTTTGAATAGTCTGTTACAGTGAAATTCGTGCAGAGCTGCACTGCTTCCCTGCATGAGATCTGCACCGCTGGCCAGGTGGCTTTCTGAATGGGGTCTCGATCCTTCTGGATTGACCTGAGCAGCACAACTGCTGCACTAGGGTAAAATGTCAGTATTCTCCAACTTGACACTTTCCACAGAATGTCAGGGGTCTCCTTAACATGCCACCCCGGTGTCTCTTTCACACGCTCGGCACAAACCCGTGGAATGACAGCATTCTGTAAAGTAGCAAACTGTGTCACTGCTACAGCATCAAGATAACCCAATGCTCAGTGAGCCACTGAATGGAATATAAAAGTTAAATATGCCTTAGCTAAAATGCACTTTTTCCTAAAGCAGTTTGATTTACTTTCAGGACCTGGGATCCAAGGTCAGAACAAAGTAGAAGGGCAAAAAGGAGGTGATGGGACGGATCCTGTCAAAGGGGAAGCCTGGAACAAAGGCAAGACCCAAACTGAGTAAAGTTACTGGGCGATCAGCTGAAACCCTTCCCCGCGGCATAGAAATTCGTGCTGCCATTAGAAACCAGAAAAAGGTAGATGATGGGATTTCATAAAATATTTAGACTATTGGGGCCCAGCTACCTAGTGGGACACAGAGAACCAGAGGATGGGTGTAGGGAACAGGGGTGTAAGGT